TTATAAAAAAATAAATCGTATCTCTGTATACTAATATTTGAGTATAAATATTATAAATTCGCTGATATTGATGTAATTATACCTATCTATCTTGATTTGAAAATAATAAACGTGATTACCTATTAACAAATAGCTGTAAGCCATACGGCAACAGCATACACCATCATAGTTCGTTTTACCAATCTTTGATATTATATTTTTATAAAATATGAGCATACCTATTGTTATGTCAAATGTCAATTACATATGTCACTATATAGTAATAGTTACGTTTCCGTATGGGGTGTATGGTCATTGGTCATATTGTAAAATAATTTTTCTTGCCCTATATCATTGTATGTATATTATAGTAAATAAACACGGTCAAGGGTTTTGTTACTACACTTACAACATCTCCCCCCATCGCTACGCCACTGGGTACAACATAACAAAAATCGAGCTAGTCCTCTGGTTTAAAATATTCTTTTCAAAAGCTGGGGGTGTAGTTGTTCCTATCAACCCTTCCGTATTCTTTATTATTAGTCTTTTGATAGATATATTATTATCGTATATTCTATTCATAATTTTGAAAATCTGATCCACTTAAAATTGAGGGGTAGGTCAAATTTCTTGCTGGGTGGGACACGGGAATAGGGCTAAAAATAGATGGGGTTTTCTCAACGTAGGCTGAGTGTGAGTAAGTCGAAAAGGTCTCATTCGATCCGTTAGATAATGCCATTTAGTTTCTACAATGGAGCAGTGTAGTGTCGTTCACCGTGTGTTCGCGTACGACTCATTTGTCAAAAACAACGAATTGATAGTGAAAGTACAGCGTGCATTCAGAATTGWTTTTAACATTAGTCGGCACGGTGCGGTTCCCGATCGGCAAACAATTATGAGATGGGTCACTGCTTTTCGAACAATGGGAATAATAAAATTACAACAAGCCACCTGGCCTCGTAACAACTCCCAAAAATACGGAAAGGGTAAGAGCCGCTGTTCTCCAAAGTCCAGAACGCTCGGTGCGTAAATAAGCTTAGGCTTTACAAATTAAACATGCTTCCGTTCGACGCATCATCAAACGTGAATTGAACTTCCATCCTTATTAAACTTAAAAATTTTATCATACTTGTGTATGATAAAATATTAATAAAATAATTGTACGTCTACAACATCATGAGTTATATCTATTTGTTTTTGTCCCTAATYCCGTGAACCCCCCTGTATTTCGTATATCTATCTTTTAAGTGTGAAAACAAACTTTTATACACTTATTCTGTTTTGAATTTTATCGGCCTGAATACGTTCTACGGATATACTCTAAGCACGTATACTCACTATGCACGACATCATGTTTAATACTGAAATGCCTAGTATTACGGTGCCCACGATGCCCATCACTATGCCGATGTTATGAAAGGCTTCGGGCATGGCCAGAAAACCTCCACCGATGGTTGCCTTTACCATATGCATAAGTGCTTCGTTGTTGCTGTGTGGAGATTTCAGTACGTCCGTCAAATACCGAGAAAAAACCATGAAAAGATWAGATATATTATGTACCGCACATAAAATCACATTCTAATTTTCATTTCATTTTTCCAAATAACATTGRACAGAAATCGATACGGTGGTACTTAGCACCATAATTTTTGGAGCAATATCTCGACTTGGTACCGTTTTCCATTCAGTGTGCGTGGAGTGCTATGCACATCAGGATCATAGCCAAAAATAGGTAAATAAAAGCATTGGCATTACCCAATGACTGCCCTAAGTGGAATGACCCAGGTATTTTGGAACGAGTTACTTTGTATAACGGCATTAAAATGGCRATTGTCTCCCTCCTCCTGATAATATGATCTAACTACCTTTRGTGCCAGGTATCATGCAGCAAAAATCTTAAAAAGGCYGTTATATCAACATGTCTTTGCCTAACCAAAATATAACACAGTAGATTTCACGATCAGAAAAATCCGTTTTACTCTGTAAGTTAAAATATTTCTAAAGGCGAAGAGCAGCTTTTCTTTTCTTTTACTTTAATTTTGAATCAAGTATAGATCATTTCAAAATTGTAAATTTATAAATAAACTTTAATCAGGCACACAATACTGACGATATAATAATGATGAGTATAATATACTCACGATATCTTGTGTTTTTCGGAGACCGGGATGCCGACGGCTGCGGCCGACACCACTGACGAGGCGTTGGACATAAGACGTGAGTGTCGGCGCCGACGACGCCTCATCTCCGACGCCGTGGGTGACCCGATRGCTATTGGTACTTCCGTACACTTCCTAATGACTTTAAGCTTGGGACTCGTGGTCTGTGACTGTACCTCCACCATGGCGCAGTGGTTTACCGGCTTCACAATTTTTGGTATGTATGTTCTCCGGTTGCCGTTGCCAAGCCGATAAGACTCAGGTCACAAACTTTTGTACGCAATGGAGTCCCTTATATGATTATAACAATAATAATAATAATACTATCGTTGAAATGCAGGTTATGATGCTTGCMAAACGAGACAGGCGTCCTTCACGTAAACAGTAGCCTACGCGAAACTTACTATTGACGATAGAAATGTATCGAAAACGCAAAAACAATGTAATGTCATGTATTATTATACGACTTGGTTTATATAAAGGTTACCGGCTGGTTCTAACAATGTGTTCTATACATTATATTATATGTACACACCGTATTGACGCCACGAGAAAACAACACCATCGATTATATTATTTTTTGGTTACAAAAAAAAAAAATATGATAACAATAAAAGTAATAATTCAGTCAGCCTGGCTGTGAAAACCAAGATGAATTGTGTCGTGTATAACGCGTTAGGTCGAGTGTGATGTTAAAACCACCGTCRCGGTCGGTACAGTGCGTGTGTTATCGCCGATCCAAAAAGGTTATCGCCAAAAATCCCGGCCAACAGGTATATATCATGGCAGGTTCTATCACATAAGTATGTGGGGGATTTTTCACGTTTGTTTGTTTAATACGATGAAAGGATTTACAGCGACTTTGTCTGTGAAGGTAAGAGCGGGGAGATTAAAAACGAAAAAAATAAATACCGATAAATCGATCGTATCCGGATACTTACTGGTTAATCGTCTTATCTAASAGATTAAGAATAATAATAAAATATCGAATGTCACCGCTGTTAACTACGGTGAATAAGTATGTGATAAATAATATAATCCCATGACGGCAAATGTGATTTATTGCAATAGTGTAATAATGTTATAAAACACAAAAATGATATAATTACATTAGGAGTGGCAAACATCGTTTGATTAATATCAACTAAAAATAAAGGCAAGTACCTATTTTTTTTTTTTGATGATCTACTCTCGTAAACAAAAATAATTATTTTAATTTTAAATTTAAATTTGTAACTAATATTAACAATTAACATACTAATTAGGTACTGATATAAGTAACAAAATCAATTAGAAAAATTATATGAAAATATATTTTTAATTTTGTATTGTAGTCAGCGTATAATGGAATATTCTTGGTAATAATCTAGGTAATAGTAACTGACCGCTAAACCAAGATGCTAATCTAAATTATCATTAGAAAGTATAGTTCAGTATTCAGATTTTATAGCTTAGTGTGAAGAAATTCCATTTCACACAAACACTTTAAGTCAAAATTTATATCTACCTCCTTAATGTAAGTACTAACAATGAGGGGAGGTTAACTTTGAAATTGTCTAAAATCGACCATTTGGCCACCCTTGCTATACCTATAGGGGGACATCCCGAGTGCGTCCCGTTTTTAATTGTTACCTTTTTTATAACCCGAGTGCATCCGCGGTCTTATCGAAAAATTATATTACAGTGTCCGAGTGCGTCCGCCGTCTTTTCAACAAATTATAATGAATAGCCCGAGTGCGTCCTCGGTCCACAGCTGCTATAGGTATCTATTTAAGATAAAATAATCAAACTTTTAAGATACCTACATGTTTGACGATGGATATGGTGGTTAAAATGTACAATTRTAATATTTGCATTTGTACATTTATGACTGTAAACACTGGAAACAGTGGGGAAATTAATTTTAGCGCCGATAATAATTTTACACGATTACCAGTTAAAACTTACTCAGTTACGGTAAATAAGTGCTATAGTGAAATTGTGTGTTAAGTAGTGCCGTAATATTATATAATACAAATTGTCAATTTGCAAATTTTCAAAATGTCATTGCCCGAAAACATGTTAAGTCAACATGGTAAGGAAATAAAAATTATTGAAGGGTATAATTTAAGATTTCATAAAATATTAAATAATGATGTAAGACAATGGAATTGTACAAACAAAAAGTGTGAAACATATTTTAAAACCGATAAAAGGGGAGATACTGTTATAGAGAATAAATTAGATCATAACCATGAAAAAGTGTACGGCCACTTAAATGAATACATCATGAACTTAAGAAAATTAACACAGATACATTAAATAAAACTTAACGGTTTAAGTTAAAATAAATTAATAATAATAATAATAATAATAAATTAATAATAATAAAAATAAATTAATAATAATAAAAATAATATTTTGGGGTGTAAGCCAGATCACCTTCTCGTGGTGCACCCTGGGTAATTATAAATGAACTGGGGACGCATTCGGGCTATGTAAAARTTATGACCTTTTTTTCTTGGAACGCACTCGGATGATACTTTATTCTGGACGCATTAGGAACATTAAAAAATGGTCATTTCGGGACGCACTCGGGAAACTCCCACCTATAGCCTTATKYGATGATATAATAAAATGTATGACAACGGTCTAAGGTAAGGCTACACGCTTGTCTCACTGCTATGACAAATGCGATATAACTTACTATATTAATATTAAATTAGCTGCAGACCTCCCCCACCGACACTGGATTATCATTGACCACGACAGCATTTATTGATTTAAGCCCTGACCATCATGTAGTCTGCAAATGGTTGCAATTACATTATTGGGACTGTTTTTTGTTAGCGCGATAATAAAATAATAAATATTGTATAGATGGTGCTTAACAAGCGGACTAACGTGTTTTTTACAAGGCTCAAGTACCTCTATAGAGTATAGACAGATGAAGCGGCGGCAGCAGTCGAGTGCTGTTCCTTCGATTTATTTTTGAGCCGTATTCTACTCAATAATTATAACTTATAATTATTTTTAGAGAATATTGTAAATGTAAACATATTTCAGGTTTAAATATTGTAGTGTTGAATAATGCCTTAGCTTTAATAATAATGATATCAAAATCGAGTGTTCATGTGCTTCACTGTGTACCAAACGTCGAATTTTAGATTTAAGAAAACTGTATCGGTTATGATTATGAATCATTTTAAAAAGCACTTATCCATTGAAAAGGAAATACTTGAATCAATGATTTGATAATGTTTTTTTTWAAATTTAATATCTCGCATTGCATACTATTTAGATCTAACTATAATCCCAATCAAGAATAGGTACTGCCGAAAAAATGGGTACACCAGCACAAACTATTAATAACACCTTTGTAAACATTAAATAGAATAATTATTRTTTATAGAATGACTTGTAGTATTTGTTGTTCCTCTCAGATCCACGCACAACCGCTCATTGAACATCAATAAAGCATTTCCACGTAAACTGGTAATTATAATATTTGAGTAAAAACCATAAACATGAAGGACAATATTTTTGAGGGTTTATACGTTTTGTATTTTATTACTATTCGACTTCATAACCATTTAGCTATTTAAAAATGTAATATTGTATAAACATAAACTATTTTAAACAATATTTAGACAAATCAGACATTTTACAAAATTACACGAATACCTACTCATAACTCGGTCGGATATTGAAATATCGTAAAAAAAAACAGTATATGAACAGTGAACACATATTATAATGTTCTTACTTTTTATGTTTGATATACTTTCAATCTAATGTTGACATGAGTAACAAACACACTATGAGTTCGACCTAGTAATGTTAATTTATAAATTATTAAAAAATTATTGTTGATAATGCGCATAGCATAAGCATTTACTTTTATTATTTTAATGCTTTTTCTATGCTCTAAATTTATACATTTAAAAAAAATTCGTATAACTCAAAAGTTGTAAGTTCCCATACTACTTTTAACTCAACTCAATTAAAAATCATCAATCATTTGCCCAGGATCGATATTATGTATCTGTTAGGAATCCGGTTTACTTTCATGTAGTTGGATTTATTTATTTAATATTTGAATAGAATTTATTAAAATTAATAAATCTATTAATATATAATAGGTGTACCTATTAAAAATCGATCTCGCAAAATACTGCAATAGTTATTATGTATGACGAAATTATTTTTCGTATTTCATTAGTTTTCAATCAAGGATTGTTTGTGGCACGTGGGACAATAGACAATATTGTTTCTTTCAAAACCTCCGTAATAAATAGATAAAGCTAAAGTTTACTATCTATGTTCTGACAAAAGATTAATTGTATGTACATTTGACTTTATTTGTGAACAAATAATGAATGGATTTTATTTCCTAAAAGCACTGATAAAGTTATTTTCTTTCTAATTGAAAATATTTTTATCTACATTTTGACGAAATAAGAAAACATGTTTTTGAACACACTTTTGATAAAGTGACAATCATATGTAATTTATATACATACAATTTACTGATATTACATAAAACTGAGCCACTTGTAATTTTTATACAAATGCTTTATAATTTTTTTCACTTCTTTTTTTATTTATCTTAATATTTTGTTGCAGGCGTAACCTCCAAGAGAAAAAAAAAACCAGTAGCTACCTTAAAAATCTAAGTTATCTAAGTATCGTAGGGTAAAATAAGGACTAACAATTAATATCTACATTCTAAAATTAACGAACAGTTTACAATTCTGGTGAAAACTTCACGACAATTTTTTTGGATACTGATTAGTGTAGTAATACAATATTGTTTAACATCAATCACTACCGTGAGGGACCATGTATAAGGGAACAAACATAAATTTGATTTATTGATGTCCCTAATTCAGTATAARCCATTATTCACAAGTAAATTCCCTTAAAAAAAAATAAATGTTTATAATAATTTAAACAATATTAAATATAATCAAACAATAGGCTATCCAGAGTAGTATACATCATAAAATTGTGCATTATTGTGTTTGGGAGGCTTGGCAGATATATCTCCTTAAGGCAAGATACTATATATAATAATAATAGTGTTACATTACAAATAGCGCGTAGACATAACGAAAACAAAGTCCCCAAGATCGCAACAGCGTTCTCTCTCAATATATTATTTAAACCTAATATTAGAATTCATTATGATTTTAGATATTCCAATAAGCGACAACATAAATACGTAAACTAAAATAATTAATATTTTATTTTTATTAAAGCTATTATAAACGATATTATCTTTTTTGTTATCTTTAAATATTTTGTCGGTCCGGTCTTGTCATCCCTAGATTCTTTTGCTTTCTCTTGCAATCAGTTATAATAACGTCTCGAACTGGGAACGCCATGTAGGTGACCTCTTCGAGATTACACAGCTTCAAATCAAATATTAAGTTAAACAAAAGTGGCTGTGCTAGTTGTGTAGAACAGTAATATAGGCTSCAATTCTTTTAGTATCCTAGGTAAACGGCCACACAAAGGATAAGGAAAACTTATTATGAATGCATACAAGTTCACGTGGTTACGATCTGACGACCAAGGTATAGTGACATGGGGGAATCGTAAGTTCCTACACGAGAGTAACAGGTAGACAATTACATMCGTTAATTCCTACATATGTGATGTGTAAGTTCCTACACGAAAAAAAAAAGGTACGTATGTTAGTTCCTACACGGCGGAAGGCAGGTACATGTGTAAGTTCCTACACAGTAA